AGACAGGGTCTTGCTCTGTCATCCAGGCTGGAGGGCAGTGGTATGATCATGGCTCACTGCAGCCTTGAACTCCTAGGCTCAAGGGATCCTCCCCTGCCTCAGCCTCCTAAATAGCTGGGACTACAGATGTGTGCCACTGTACTGGCTAATTTTTTTTTTTTTTTAGACAGAGTCTTACTCCGTCACCCAGACTGGAGTGCAGTGGCATGATCTCCGCTCACTGCAACCTCCGCCTACCAGGTTCAGGGGATTCTTCCACCTCAGCCTCCAGAGTAGATGGGACTACATGTGCATGCCCCCATGCCCGGCTAATTTTTGTATTTTTAGTAGAGACTAGATTTCACCATGTTGGCCTGGCTGGTCTCGAACTCCTGACCTCAAATGATCCTCCTGCCTTGGCCTCCCAAAGTGCTGGGATTACTTAAAGGCGTGAGCCACCATGCCCGGCCAAACTTTATACTTCTGAATTTCCCAAATTTTCTATTAAAGTAAGTTATAAAAAGTAGCTTAGGTAAGACAATTGTTAAGATTCTATTATTGTAATACCCAAGTGTAAGAAATACGGTTGCCGTTCACACCTGTGTAGGTAGGTTTCCTAGATGACCGAATTAGGCTGCATGTATTGTGTGCCGGTCTTTGTTTTGCTCTTTGCCAAAACAGTGACTGCTGTTCTACCGTTGGACTCTGCTCTGTTTTGAACAGGTTGTCGGGGTACCAGTTGGGTCTGCTTTACCTTCAACAGTGAAGCAGGCTGTGGCGATCAGTGGTGGCCAGATCCTGGTAGCCAAGGCCAGCTCTTCTGTCTCCAAAGCAGTTGGTCCAAAGCAAGTTGTGACCCAAGGAGTTGCCAAAGCAATTGTGAGTGGAGGTGGAGGAACCATTGTTGCTCAGCCAGTGCAGACCTTAACCAAGGCCCAGGTCACTGCCGCTGGTCCTCAGAAGAGTGGATCCCAGGGTTCAGGTAAAACGGATCATCACTGGGGGCCCTTTCAGCAGAAGCTCTGTCCAATATTTCCTTTGCTAGTGATTTTATTTGCTATTTGATCTTGTCTAGGAAAGCCTAGTTAGGTTGATGCTGTAAGAAGTATATTGAAATGTTTGTTCATTTTTATGGACATTTCACATAAAGGTCTGTAGGTATTTAGCTTTAAGTTTACACACACACACACACACACACCATTTCTCAGTACCGTGCGCGCGCGCGCACACACACACACACACACACCCCCACACCATTTCTCAGTACCGTCTGTAGGTATTTAGCTTTAAGTTTACACACACACACACACACACACCATTTCTCAGTACCGTGCGCGCGCGCGCACACACACACACACACACCCCCACACCATTTCTCAGTACCGTCTGTAGGTATTTAGCTTTAAGTTTACACACACACACACACAGACACCATTTCTCAGTACCGTCTGTAGGTATTTAGCTTTAAGTTTACACACACACACACACACACACACACACACACACACCCACCATTTCTCAGTACCGTGGGGGATTGGTTCCAGGACCCCCTACTGCAGGTAGCAAAATCTACAGATGCTCGAGTCCCCTATGCAGATCTTCTGGTGTACTTTTACATCACCTCTAGGTTGTTTTAACACCTAATAACAATGTAAATGCTGTGTAAATAGTTGTTACACTCTGTTGTTTAAGGAATAATGACAAGAAAAAGTCTGTACATGTTCAGTACAGATGTACTCATCTTTTTTTCTCCCAGTCTATGGGGATACAGAGAGCCAACGGTACTTGCCAGTCAGGAGCACAAATTTGCCCTAACTTTGACTTTAAACAAATGGGGGAAAATATGTATTCCTCCATAGATAGGGTGATTGTTTCATTAATTGTCCAAACCACAGTATTTATGAGAGTAAAAAGAGTCACTGTTAATAATTACAATGGGACGGGTGTAACCTAGAACTGTTTTAGGCAGAACCAGGACATACGGTCACCCTATTATATACAAATATAAAGAGCCTCTGGCAGGCTTTTGTGGTCTATAAATTATTTTTTAATTAGCAGGATATTTAAGAATATCAGTCTTTAAAGCACTGTGCATCTGGGAAACAAACTTTGAGTTTATTGCTTGTTAGTGTTCTAAAATAAGATTTCATTGCCTTTTTAGAGTGTTGCCCTTAGTTTCAATTTATCTTACAATTTTTTCTCCTTTACCATTTTAGTAATGGCAACATTGCAGCTACCAGCCACTAATTTGGCCAACTTGGCAAATTTGCCTCCTGGCACTAAACTCTACCTAACTACAAACAGCAAGAACCCTTCAGGAAAAGGAAAACTGCTGCTGATCCCTCAGGGAGCCATCCTGCGAGCTACAAACAGTGCTAGTAAGTGAAACCGTTGGGTTGAATCGTTTGGTTGTTGGTTCTGTGTGTGTGTTCATCTTGTCCACCTGAGGGTAGTTCTTACCTGTTTCAGAAAGCATTTCCGTAACTCTGTTGGGTGGTGTAATGGTAGCATTTGCCCAGATGGATTTAACACAGAACGATAATTTAACTAGAAGTGGATTTGCTCCTCAGCATTTGGGATCAGGAATGAATTACACTGGAGAGAGATGGCTAGTGAGGCTGTTAGGAGAAAGCCGTCTACAGGAACCATGAATGAAGTGGTGTCTGAAAATTATCTGGTGATACCTGAGGGAAGATCCATCTACTCAGAGAAGCTGAAAGTCTATTTTTGGGGACAGGTTGGCATAGGATTGGAATCGAGTGCGTCCGTTTGGCTTTGTTTAGATGGGGATCCCCGACCCCTGGGCTGCACAGCATGAGGTGAGCGGAGGGTGAAGGAGCATTACTGTCTGAGCTCTGCCTCCCGTCAGATCAGCAGTGGCGCTAGATTCTCACAGGAGCGCAAACCCTGTTGAGAACTGTGCATATGAAGGGATCTAGGTGGCGCACTCCTTATGAGAATCTAATGCCTGATGATCTGAGGTGGAACAGTTTCATCCCAAACCACCCCCCACCTCCTGCCCCAATTCATGGACAAATTCTCTTCCATGACACTGGTCCCTGGTGCCACAGAGCTTGGGGGCAGCTGGTTTGGATGTATTCCTTACTTCTGCTAGGTTTAGAGGTGGAAAGAGAAATACAGACTCTGCCTAGGTGTGTAAGTCTTAAAGCCCCATGGAAATGAGGCAGTTTATTTGCAGTTACAGAAACTTTTGCTTTGACGTATCGAGAAAAACAATTTGGGCAGTGTTGAAGAGGATAGGACAAAAGGAAATTATTTCTCTCTGAATCAGAAGTAGAAAGGTATAGCATTCAGGGTCATTAGAAGTTAACCGCCCTTGCCAAAATGCAGTGTGTCAGCTAACCGTCCTTGTGTTCATTGACCATGATGGGTCAGTTCCACTCTCACTTGGTATTTTTTCCTCATACCTAAGCAGTGGTATGTCCAAAAGTTAAATATGTAAGAAAAGCACAGTATAAATATAAATATTTCAGAAGTCATCCAGGGAGCTACTTAGATTCTTGTGATATTCTTGGGGCAAAAATAAACCATTGGGAAGGAAGTTGTTGCAGTAATCACTGGAATGAAGGTGGAGAAGGAAATTGGAAATATTCTTGAGTGAATATCCATAGTGCAGGTAGTTCAAATGCATTATCTCACCAAAAGAGAAGGAAAAAGAGTTTTGACGTGGGATTTGAAAGGCAAAGAAGAATGGGGTCCTGGGGTCATTGTAAACGAAGGAAAGTCTTCATTTTTCCCAAGACAGAGAGACAGCATTGAGCACTGTAAAGTGACACTAAATTCCAGCAATTCACTGACATTGAATCAGATGCCCAAAAGTTGGGAAGCACCTATCTGAGCACATTTAAGTGTTGATTAAAATACTTGGCTAGAGGCTAGGTGCAGTGGCTCACACCTGTAATCCCAGCACTTCGGAGGGCCAAGGCAGGCGGATCATGAGGTCAGGAAATCGAGACCATCCTGGCCAACATGGTGAAACCCCCTCTCTACTAAAAATACAAAATTAGCTGGGCGTGGTGGCACGCGCCTGTAGTCTCAGCTACTTGGGAGGCTGAAGCAGGAGAATCGCTTGAACCCGGGAGGCAGAGGTTGCAGTGAGCCAAGATCTTGCCATTGCACTCCAGCCTGGCGATAGAGTGAGACTCCGTCTCAGAAAAATACTTAGCTAGAAAATGTCAGTAGCAAGCCTTCTCTTGATCTCCCATGACCACGTCAACGTATCTTCATTGTACTCAGAGCCGAAATACAGTCAGTTGTCATGCAGTTGAAAGGAAATAGATTCTGATCTAAAAATCTAGGAAGTTCTCCTCACTCTTGTCACAGGATAGGTAGATTACAGAAAAGAAGGAGGAAAATGGGAAAGGAGAAGGAATGGCACTAAAAGGGAAACATCTCTCTGGGCTCATTTTTATGTTAAAGCTTTGCTTGATACATTTTGTGATGTTGCTGTCATTCACTGTATTTTTAGATCTCCAGTCTGGCTCAGCTGCCAGTGGTGGGAGTGGTGCCGGAGGAGGAGGAGGTGGTGGAGGCGGTGGCAGTGGTGGAGGCAGCAGTGCAGGAGGAGGAGGAGGAACAGGAGGAGGAACAGCAGGAGGAGGAACTCAAAGTACCGCCGGCCCTGGAGGGATATCTCAGCACCTGACTTACACATCTTACATCCTCAAGCAAACTCCCCAGGTCTGGTTATCTGTAACTGATATTTTAAATCATTTAGCTATTTGGTAACTATGCTTAATCATAATTGATTGACCTTTACAGCTCTGGGATCAGGATTCGATACTAACACCTTAGCCATGTTATCTATAGCTATATCTTGGCTGGGTGTGGTAGCTCATGCCTGTAATCCTGGCACTTTGGGAGGCCAAGGAGGGTGGATCGCTTGAGCCCAGGAGCTCGAGACCAACCTGGGCAACATGGCGAAACCCTGTCTCTACTAAAAATACCAAAATTAGCTGGGCGTGGTGGTGCATCTCTGTAGTCCCAGCTACTCTGAAGGTTGAGGTGGGAGGATTGCTTGAACCTGGGAGGTTGAGGCTGCAGTGAGCTGAGGTCGCACCACTGCACTCCACCCTGGGTGACAGAGCAAGACCCTGTCTCAAAAAAAAAAGAAAAAAAAACTTTTTATCTTTTTGTGCTCGTTTTGAGAGAAAAGGAAATAGAGATTGAGAAACACTTTAGTAACTTATCCAGGATCTTCCTGCTAAGCTAATGGTAGAATTTGGGTTTAAGCCAGGCACAGTGGCTCACGCCTGTAATCCCAGCACTTTGGGAGGCCAAGGCAGGCAGATCACCTGTCAGGAGTTCAAGACCAGCCTGGCCAACATGGTGAAACCCCGTCTCCACTAAAAATACAAAAATCAGTTGGGTGTGGTAGTGCATCCCTATAATCCCAGCTACTTGGGAGGCTGAGGCAGGAGAGTCTCTAGAACCCACGAGACAGAGGTTGCAGTGAGCTGAGATCACTCCATAGTATTCTAGCCTGGGTGACAGAGTGAGACTCTGTCTCAAAAAAAAAAAAAAAAAAAAAAGAATTTGGGTTTAAACCCAGATCTTCCTGCCTTAAAGAAAGATTTCTACTATGCTGATTGCCTCCCAAATCCATGAGGTAATAAACAGTATTAATGTACAGTTGAAAAGTTGCTCGTAGAAGGGAGTGATCAAAGAGACAGTATCAAGTTGTAATATTTAGAGTTAGGTTAGATTTGATTAGGAACGGGTTTCTTCCTCCTCTCCTCTTGTCATTAAAGTCTTGGCTCTTTTCAAAGGAAAGTCATAGAATTTTGGTTCCAGATGTTCTTATTGAGAAAGATGTATAGTTATCAGTCTGAATGATTAAATCCAGCTTTGAGGACTAAATTGCAAAACAGAGTTTTCAACAGACTGCTCTGTAACTACGGTGCAAAGTTTGAGAGGTGGGGATAACTGTTGGAAGTAATACTTAGAGCACAACTATTCTTTTGAATTATTTTGCCTACATCGCAGAATTAAAGGGGAGAGCGTTGTAGCTTGTAAGATGGGACGTTACATGTTATTTAGGGGATCAGAACAGTCCATTTGAATTTAACAAATTATCGGTTAGTTCTTTGTATTTTTTTCTAACTTAGGGCACATTTTTAGTTGGCCAGCCATCACCCCAGACTTCTGGAAAACAACTCACCACTGGGTCAGTGGTCCAGGGAACACTGGGAGTCAGCACGTCTTCTGCACAAGGACAACAAACGCTAAAGGTCATCTCTGGACAGAAAACCACGTTGTTTACACAGGTAAATATGCCCATGCACACACCCCAAATATGGGGTGACTATGGCATTTATTTACATATTTACATGTAGTTTCTCTCTTTTCACAAAGAAATTAAGGTTACATAAGAAAATGAACAATAAGGCCCGGAGTGGTCGCTCAAATGCCTGTAATCCCAGCACTTTGGGAGGCCAAGGTGGGTTAATTGCCTGAGGTCAGGAGTTCGAGACCAGCCTGACCAACATGGCCAACATAGTGAAACCCCGCCTCTACTAAAAATACAAAAATTAGCCGGGCGGGATGGTGCGCACCTATAGTCCCAAGTACTCAGGAGGCTGAGGCAGGAGAATCGCTTGAACCCGGGAGGCAGAGGTTGCAATGAGCCGAGATCGCGCCATTGCATTCCAGCCTGGGCGACAGAGCGAGATTCTGTCTCAAAAAAAAAAAAAAAAAAAGGAAGAAAGAAAGAAAAGGAACAATAAAAAAATATAGAAAAACAAAAACGAATCTTGAGGTTTGGGAAAATGTAAGTAGAATGAGAAAATTAAGGCCCCAGGTGTTATTCTGATATGTAAACAGTCAAGATATCTTGCACAGTTAATAAAATCAAGGTATAAATTTTATAGCAAAGACAAAATGAGAAGCATGGTCAGTTTTAAAGTCACACTACATGTGAGAAAGAAAAAACACATATTTCGTTAGAAGAAACAAAGCTTTCTTGACACTTTGTTGTAAAATTTCTCCAGATGGACTTCACGTAGAAGAGGTGGGAGGATCCGCCTGCCTCGGCTTCCCAAAATGCTGGGATTACAGGCGTGACCCACCACACCTGGCCTTGTTTAGAATTTTTGCAAGGGATACTGGTCAGTAGTTTTCTTAGTAATTTCTGTCTGGTTTGGCATCAGGGTAATACTGGCCTCATAAAATGAAGTGAAAGCTTTTTCTTGCTTTTCTTTT